CAGGATTTGGTTTCACAGGTCCTTCCTCCACTTCACTTTATTAATCTCTAAAATCCTGTTGTCGATGTTGGTTACTCCAAATAGAATTATGGATATCTTCTTTAGTTTTGAAGTGCCCAAAATCAACTTCTGAAATTTTGTGAAAAATTACATATACTGATAGTGATAACATTCCTGTCCTCCCTCCCAACTTCAAAAGACTCACTTTAAATTTCAATCACATCATATAGAATTTTTCTGAAGAGAGTGAGTCCGACTAACCTAATAGTATGGTCAACACTGTTACTATTGTAAAGTTTTCCACCAGTTGATTTTGCTCACTGATGTTTGAGCAATCACTATTGTAATTTTTCAGGTGGATTCACATGGAAAGCTTGATCCTGAAGTTGAAGATCTTCTTCTAGAGATTGCTGATGACTTCATTGATTCGGTAGGCTTGAATATGCTTTATTCATTGTTGTTGTCTTTCTTTTCTGGGTAGGGCAGTTACTGGGTTGGTTGTGGTTTGCTGTGTGTATCACATTTGGCTATCACTGATTTGGGTACCTTTCGGGTGAAATAATTGATGTGCTCGCTTGTTAGACTGTATAGTTGTTGAATAATATGCACTTAAAGGGATATTGCCATCCTGCTGATTTTGGTTTCCCTCCTCAGTCCTCTCTTTTTCCTTCTCTTTTTCTTGTTTGTTGTAAAATCTCTTGTTCATTACTTTTTCCTTATTCCATTCAATTTGGACTTCTAAACACAGTCAAAGGATGATAATGAATCTTCTTCGCGAGGTTCTGGTATAAGATCATCAAGTGAATCGACCTTGGATTGTAAATCAAGGACGTTGTTGTTTTCCTGCCTTGGCAGTTGTCTAAGAATATGTCTTTCATCAGAAAGTGGTTGACATTTTTATTTTAGTGCTTGGTTATTAAATGATATCAAAAGCTTATTTCTCTAATACCCTACATGTCCTGTATATTCCTAATGAAATGGTGATATGCTACAAGATGTGAGTCATACTTTTATTTGGTCAAAGGATGGAAAGATAACACAACCATATCCAATTGAATGTTCCCTGGTGTCCAATCTATCACCTTGCACACGGTAGCTTTCTAGCAATGTCTGCGCCTCAGAGCCATAAACATGATATCACCGTTAGGGTCATTTCCAGTCTGCAATAAACTGCTGCAGTCCTCAATTTAACTAGAGTTACATACTCCTATGACTTCAGGGTGTTGCTCCCCAGGTGCCCTTTTTCTTTTCTGGCTAATACTGAAATTTTTGGCTTGTAAATTATGTATTATGCAACCACGTCAGGTGATTGTTGCAATACTTTTATTTTTTTGTAAACTAAAATTTATTACTCTGGCACTTGTACCAGTTTGTTCTACCACCCTTTTGTATTTCACCAGCGTCATCTAAAATTCTTTGTGCAGATAATTGTTCATGAAAAACTGACATACATGAATTTGTTTTACATTGATTATTTATCATGCTTTTTACGTACTTATGTTCAACGCCTCATTGTAGGTTACTACATTTGCTTGCAATTTGGCGAAGCATCGAAAATCTTCGACTTTGGAGTCCAAGGATGTACTGTTACATCTAGGTTTGTGCCTGCAACTGGAAATAAAGGATCTATTCTTTATTTTGTTTCCATTATTTAGAAAGACCGTTTTTATCACTTGGTACAGTTTTTAATTGTAAAGATTGCATTATTAGGTACAAAGGTTGCATTTATATGGTGTATATTTGTTTTAGTATATTTCTATTTTCTTTTTGTTGATTAGTATGCTCTTTACAGGCTTATGTAGTGAGATAATCCTCGTTTAGGAAGAAAACAGCTATCCTGTGGACATAAAATGGGTAAAAGGGTATTATGGCCGTAGACAAATAGAATGCCTTCGGTTTAAGGCTCTCCCAGTAGTCCCCCCCCCCCA